ACGATGTGCTTGGTGGGAAGGTGTTATGTCGTCTAGGTTCACCCATAACGAAATGGTACACCATTTGCTTACTCTTAAAAGAAGTTTTACTGCCCAGAGTCAAAGCCAAGATTCTCATGGGAGGTTGTTCACAATGGAGAGGCGTGCAAAAATGAACGAACCTGGGATCGGGGATCGCTAAAACCAAAGACGGTGTCAAGGGGAAGAGCCATGTTGAATCGCAGCCTCAATTATATTGTAGGGTTTTGTATTGTTCCAATAAACTACACTGGTTAAACTGTAAATATTAGGATTCCCTTTTCATGTTTTATGGAAAACATATAAGTACATTTTCAACTGTCTTATTAATGTGGACCTTTTTGAAAGGTAGAGGACGTATATTACGCACTGATCGCACGCCACCACCTCCTACAACCGGATACGGGCCTGTACTTGTCGTCTTTCTTCAGTTCAACGGATTCAATCGTTTGTTACTCAATAAAAAGCAACAGTACTAGAGTAGTAGGGTTAAAAGTTAACGTTACCACAGAGACGTTAATTGATATCTTTTGTCTTATCTGATGAAGCAAGCATGTTCATTGTCTAGCCAGAGTGAGTTGATAACTCCCTACTCCAGTAGTTGTGTAACGAAAACATTTTGTTTGAAACCGTGTATGAGAAAACATTTACTGAAAAAATAGAATAGGCCCTATGCCAGTTTACAAAACAAGACCTTATTATGTTCTTGAAAGAACGTATGGCGAAATACTTTATTAATAAGATTGATTGTTTTACGAAGTAGTTTTAATAGCATAATTTTTAGTAAAGAAGTGTTTATTTTATCCTGCAAAATATTCTAAGTTGAAACTTTATTGCTTAGAAGAAATTGAATTTAACTATAGCTGTAACTTATCAAGAAACTTGATTTGTATCTTAGAATAAAGTATATAATTAATTAATCCTGCATTATAATTATATATGTACGATTAAACAAGCGTATCTATTGCAAGACGATTATACGTTGGTTACCGTATTTAAATAATTAATTAATAATTAAATCTAGGCATGAATGGAAATACATTGCTTTAAATAGGTATCAATTTGCCAGTACTGTACTAAGTTGCCTAGTAATAATTAATTCAGTGAGAAACGTTAGTCACAAGTAGGGTCCCGAATAAAGAAAGTTTTGTAAGCCGCCAATTCAAGAATGTTATCGGAGACGAAGTCTTTGTACGACGCCAATTCAGGAATGTCATCGGAGCATGGACCTATTAATAGGTCCATGATCGGAGACAAGGAAAGAATGTCAAATGCTGAAAATAGCCGACTGGCTTGATCTCTGTACATGGAAACTGTACAAACATGTGCGATGGTTCAGGATGTAGTTGTTACCCGAGTTGCTCGCCAAAACAGACCGTATAATATAGGGTCTGTGGCCATGGCCTATACTACGTGTTGTTTTCTTGTCTATTAATTATTTTACATAAGCTTAATACAGACATTAATTATGATCATTAACCTCTGTTGTGTGTTATAACCGTATTATTGCTCGTTAAACCAGGTTGAACTTTAATCAGTTGGTGAATTCACATTAGGTTATTCATCAATCGGCAGACACTGCACACTCGTTCTGCACGAATGGGCATCTGAATACGAGCGTAACCACGGAAACGTGTATTTCTATTGTTATCTTCTCTATGAAGGGCGTTTACAGTTAAAGTTCTGGATTTTAGGGCAATGTATTTCGTGTTTTTTCGTGCTTCAAATTCAAATCAATTATTCGATCATTCGATCATTTAAGAACGTATAGGAATAGACATAATATACAACGAAACATAAAGCATAATGTATGTATAACACTAGTACAGTATATACGTACGGGTCATAATAATATACAAAAGGAATAAATCGTTTATAGTAGAAATTGTGCATTTTTGAGTTTGTAAAAATATTGGCCTAATAAACATACACGCTTCCAATTTTAACAACGTTCAGTACATTGTTTTTACAATAAATTTAGCCTCTGATAACCACTGCACCCATAAAATCGATCTAGTGGTTTCTGAGATGGTTACGAACTGTATAAACAATTGCGTTTTTACTCGGTTTTGGTCCGCAAAATAGGTACCAACACTTGGAAAACTGAACAGACAAAATTCATGAGTCATGCGCAATAGTTATTCTTTCCATTCGCTTTTAAATGTTGGGTTTTAATTATGAAAGATTGGTGAAAAAGGGGGGGGGGG